GTAGCTGGGACCACAGGCGCCCACCACAACACCCGGCTATTTTTTGGTTGCAGCCATTATTGTTGTTTGGTGGGCCCGGGCTGGATTCGAACCCGCCACCTTGGGTGTATGTGGCTGGTGCCTTAGCCACTTGAGCCACAGGCGCTGAGCCTACAATTTTCTCCCATTCTGTATGTTGCCTATTTACTGTTTTTTTTTGTTTGTTTCTTTCTTTTTTGAGACAGAACCTCAAGCTGTTCCCCTGGGTAGAGTGCTGTGGCATCACAGCTCACAGCAACCTCCAATTCCTGGGCTCTAGCGAGTCTCCTGCCTGAGCCTCCCAAGTAGCTGGGACCACAGGCGCCTGCCACAACGCCTGGCTATTTTTTGGTTGCAGCCATCATTGTTGTTTGGCGGGCCCTGGCTGGATTCGAACCCACCACCTTAGGTGTATGTGACTGGTGCCTTAGCCACTTGAGCCTGTTTGTTTCTTTTTTTGAGACAGAGTCTCACTATGTAGCCCTCAGTAGAGTGCTGTGGCTCACAGCTCACAGCAACCTCAAACTCTTGGGCTTATGCAACTCTCTTGCCTCAGCCTCCCAAGTAGCTAGGACTACAGGCACCCATCATTATGCCTGGCTATTTTTTTTTTTTTTTTTTTGCAGTTATTATTGTTGTTTAGTTGGCCTGGGCCAGGTTGGAACCTATCAGCCCTGGTGTATGTGGCTGGTGCCCTAGCCATTGAGCTGTGAGTGCTGGGCCTATTTACTATTTTGATTATTTCTTTAGCTCTGCAGAAGTTATTTAGTTTATTTAAGTCCCATTTATTTATTTTGTTTTTATTATATTTTGCTTTTTAGTTATAAATTCTTTGCCTGGACCAATGTTTAAAAGCTTTGTGTACTTTTAGAAATATTTCCTATGCATAAATTCCTAGAAGTGGAATTTCTAGGTTGAATTATTAGATATTTATAAAGTGTTCACAATATGCTAGATGCTATACTGGTACTTGGGGAAATATAGTAACCCAAATGACATGGTGCTTCTCTTTATGTTGTTTGTTACCTGTCAAAGGAGATAAGCCTGTTCAGGAATAAGACTAAGGTAAGTGTGATAAAAGCCATTGAAAAAATTGGATAGCACGGTTTCAGAGTTTATGGGAAAGAGACATCATCTGATTACGGCAAGCTCTGTCAGGTTATGACCAAATAACACCAAAGCCATGGGATTTCTATGGGGTAATAGATTTTATGTAATAAGCATCAAGCCTTGTAGTTTTCATTTTCATAATGTTGACACAAAGTGAGAGTAACAGGATAAGAATATTCAGCAGCTCTTTGGAGGGCATTATGGCTAAAATGACTTATTTAGAAGCAATATAAATAAATGCATTGGTCAAGAAGTTATGAGAGCTGAGTACGATGGTGCATGCTTATAGTCTGTTTGGAAGCCTGAGATGAGAGAATGCTTGAGCCTAGGAGTTTGAGAGCAGCCTGGGCAACATAGGAAGATACCAACTATTCAAAAAAGAAAGGAAGGAAATAGTCAGGAGAAACAACAGTGAAACAAAGCATTCATTGGTGAGGTTTAGCTACTCTTTTGTAGTTAGAACTCTAACATACATGAACAAACTTAGAAATCATAGAATTGGCTAAGATGCTGAGAACTGAAATAAATAAAAACATAGCAGCTGTTTTTAGAGTATCAATTTTTTTCCCCAAGTATAAGTGATGGCTGCTTTAAAAAATATCTCTATTTAAAGATTAGATATATATTTTTCTTTTCTTTTTTTCTTTGAGCAAAGTCTCAAGCTGTCACCCTGGGTGGAGTACTATGACATCACAGCTCACAGCAACCTCAAACTCTTGGGCCTAAGTGATTCTCGTGCCTCAGCTGCCAGAGTACCTGGGGACTATAGGCGCCTGCCACAACACCTGTCTATTTTGTTGTTGTTATTGTAGTTACCATTGTTGTTTTAGCTGGCCCAGGTGGGTTTGAACCCGCCCCCCCTCCCGGTGTATGTGGCCAGTGCCCTACCCACTGAGCTACGGGTGCCTCCCCTAGATATATATTTTTCTAATTAAAATAGAAGCTGGGCACTGTGGATCACTCCTGTAATCACAGCACTCTGAGACACTAAGAATGGATGGATTGCTTGAGCTTAGGAATTTAAGACCAGCCTGAGCAAGAGTTAGACCCTTATCTCTACTAAAAATAGAAAAATTAGCTGGGTATTGTGGCAGGTGCCTGCGGTCCCAGCTATTTGGGAGGGTGAGGCAAAAGGATATTTTGAGCCCAAGAATTTGAGGTTGCTGTGAGCTATGACATCATGGTACTCTACCAAGGGCAACAAAATGAGACTCTACCTCAAAAAATAAAATCAAGTTAAAATATATAAAGTTTAAGTCTTTTTTTTTTTTTTGAGACAGTCTCACTTTGTCACCTTGGTAGAGTGCTCTGATGTCACAGCTCACAGCAACCTCAAACTCTTGGGCTCAAGCAATTCTCTTGCCTCAGCCTCCCAAGTACCTGGGACAACAGGCACCCAACACAACACGTGGCTATTTTTAGAGCCAGGGTCTCATTCTTGCTCAGGCTGGTCTCAAACTCCTAAGCTCAAGCAATCCACCCACCTCAGCCTCCCAGAGTGCTAGGATTACAGGCACGAGTCACTGCACCTAGCCCTAAAGTTTAACTCTTTACAAAGTTAAAAATATGTATTGAAGCATGTATATGGCCATGTAAAATTATGGAGTAAATGAAAGCAAAAAAGAGAAAATCATATTACAATGTAGAAATAACCAATCTGTCCAGATTTTTTTCCCTATCTGTTAATGCATTTTAGTGCCTTTTTGTGCTGATTTATATGTATACTTTACAAATATAATCATAATCTCCATTTTATTTATTTGTTAGTGTCAAGCTACCAAGAGCATGAATCTGCACCTCTTCAGCCTCACTGGCAAATGAAGTCATGCAGGAAAGGAATGTGGAGGATTCTGATTGGAAATGGAGAATGATGAGCCCAGAGGCGTTTGAAAGCTGCTGTCTTGGCTGCAGCCAGTCAGGGATGCCAGGGCAGCAATGTTGTAGTGGTAATGGTTGCCAGACTTGACCCTTACGAATTTCTCTTTATGTCTGGTGAATCCAAGCAGGCTTATAAAACTTTGAAAGAGATTCTAATTTAAATGATGAGCTCCATTATCAGACCCATAGTTAATGAGGGATTAGATTTGTCCAGGCTTCTTCAAATCTCCGTGTGTGTGTGTGTGTGTGTGTGTGTGTGTGTGTGTGTGCGTGCGTGTATGGGAGATGGAAATCAGAAGAGGGGAAAGATCATATTAACTCAAGTCATTTTGGGAGTTCTGAGGCCTGTCTGAACTCATGGCTTTGTTTGTTTTCCTCTTCCTAGTTCCAGCTTGTGTGGACTCTGTGCTTCTCTTGGCTGACTGCTTCTTGAATTTCTAAACCATGGCCCATGTAAGTTACTGATTTTTTCTTTTTCTGGAAATAATATCATGTTAAGGTCCTATCAACATTTCTTTATTCTGAAACTTCCTACCTATTAGAGCCCCATCTGAAAACCTTCTTGTAGTTCTTCTAAATCTAGTGAGAGATGAACACAATTTTGTGAACACACTTTTTTCCAGTCATTATTCATATACACATTGAACAAATCATTCAGCATCCCCTATATGTGCTTAGTCTTCTACTAAAAGCTACAATGGCACAGAAATGTAATCCCTTAAAGGAGATATTTGACAATTCCTTGTAAGAGAGAATGAGCTCATTTAACCACTCATAACCCTAACCCTAACCCATGAGAAACTAGGTTTCCCAGACTTGAGTTTTCCAAGTATATAAGAGTTGCTATGGGTTGGCCTCAGGTTAGGTATATAGTGATCTCTCATATTTTTGAGGCTCCTAGGACTGAATAAAATTTGGCTGGGTCTTGCAAACAAAGAGGTCAGGGATCATCTCTTGGCATCCCGGAGAGTTGCACACCAGGAACAAAATTCTACCTATAGCTGAAAAGAATGTGCTGGTCTAGAATGACTATTTGTGATTCTGAATCATACTGCAGCAATATCCTTTAACTCAGGAGCAATGAATACATACAGTGAGGAGTGGAAAAATGACACCAGATAAGAAGATAATCTAGGAGACAACTAGGAGGCCAACCTAGGAAGATTGCTTGAGTCAGGAGTCCAAGACCAGCCTGGGCAAAGTGAGATCCTGTCTCTACTAAAAATAGAAAAAATAGGCAGGCATTGTGCCTAGCACCTTAGTTTTAGCTGTTCAGGAGGCTGAGGCAGGAGGATTGCTTGAACTCAGGACTTTGAAGTTGCTGTGAGCTAGGCTAATGCCATGGCACTCTATCCTAGGCAACAGAGCGAGACTTTATTTCTGTATAAATATAGAAAAATGAGTAAGTGTCATAGACTTTCTTTCTTTTTTTTTTTTGAGACAGAGTCTCACTCTGTCACTCAGGGTAGAGTATCATGGCATCATAGCTCATATCAACCTGAAACTCTTGGACTCAAGAGATCCTCTTGCCTCAGTCTCCCAAGTAGCTGGCATTACAGGTGCCCACCACAATACCTGGCTAGTTTTCCTCTTTTTAGTAGAGATGGGGTCTTGTTCTTGTTCCAACTGGTCTTGAATTCCTGAGCTCAAGCAATCCACCTGCCTAGGCCTCCTGGAGTGCTGACATTACAGGTGTGAGCCATTGCACTTGCCTAAAAAAATCTATTCTTATCTGAAGGTTCTGTCTCATAAGAAAAAATCTTTTTTTTTTTTTTTTGAGACAGATTGTCAAGCTGTCACCTTGGGTAGAGTGTGATGACACCATAGCTCACAGCAACCTCCACCTCTTGGGCTCAAGAGATCCTCTTGCTTCAGTTTTTCTATTTTTAGTAGAGATAGGGTCTTGCTTTTGCTCAGGCTGGTCTCAAACTCTTGAGCTCGGCCAATCCATCTGCTTTAGCCTCCCAGAGTGCTAGGATTACAGGCATGAGCTACCGCGCCCAGCCAAAAAATCTATTCTTTAAGGAAAAAAGTGTAGAAGAACTCACATTTCTTCTCTTTTTTTTTTTTTTAGAGACAGACTCTTATTTTGTTGCCCTCAGTAGAGTGCTGTGGCATCACAGCTCACAGCAACCTCCAGCTCTTGGGCTTAAGCGATTCTCTTATCTCAGCCTCCCAAGCAGCTGGGACTATAGGAGCCCACCACAATGACCAGCTATTTTTTTTTGTTGCAGTTTGGCCAGGGCCAAGTTTGAACCTGCCACCCTCGGTATATGGGGCTGGTGCCCTACTCTCTGAGCCACATTTCTTGAAAATTTATGGGGGAGGCATACAGCAGACAGAAGACTTATATACAGTATTTCATTTAACTGGAAAACTGATTACTTTTTTCTTTTCCAGGCATGTTTAGGTTATTAAAGTATGCCAGAGTAGGTAAAAGGCTGTGTTTGTAGCAACAGGATTTTTCAAGAACACATAGGGCACTCTGCTTCAGATATACTGATTTCCTAACCCACCATTTACAGGCTTCCAGTAAAGACTATTTGCTTGCTGTATGGTCCATTTACTGAAATATCTTTTCCATCCCTTCTCCTTCCATCTTAAAATAAATTTTTTTTCATTTCAATTATAATATACGGCTTGTCATTTCAGGGATCAGTGATGTTCAATGACATTTCCATAGTCTTCTCTCAGGAAGAGTGGGAATATCTGGATTTGGAACAGAAAGACTTGTACAAAGATGTGATGTTAGAGAACTACGGCAACTTGGTCTCACTGGGTAAGGTTGTCTGCCTCTAGGAATTTTTTTTTTTTTTTGAGACAAGAGTCTTACTTTGTCTCCCTCAGTAGAGTGCTGTGACATCACAGCTCACAGTAACCTCAAACTCTTGGGCTCAAGCAATTCTCCTCCTTCAGCCTCCCAAGTAGCTGGGACTACAGGCCCTCACCACAATGTCCAGCTATTTTTAGAAATGAGGTCTTGCTCTGGCTCAGGCTGGTCTTGAACTCCTGACCTCAGGCAATCCATCTACCTTGGCCTCCCACATGGTGGGATTACAGGCATGAGCCACCTCAGTCAGCTATGATTTATAGCCTTACCAGTGTCAAAGCAGGTTTCATTTTGTGTCTGAACTCAAAATCACTTTAGCTATTTTGTTAATTTTTGGTATACTTGTAAGGGAAATAGCAAGATCCTGTTTCTTAATTTTTCTCTATCAGAAAAACACATATTGGCTCGGCGCCTGTGGCTCAAGTGGCTAAGGCGCCAGCCACGTACACCTAGGGTGGCGGGTTCAAATCCAGCCCAGGCCCGCCAAACAACACTGATGGCTGCAACCAAAAAAAACATAGCCAGGCGTTGTGGCAGGTGCCTGTGGTCCCAGCTACTTGGGAGGTGGAGGCAGGAGACTCGCTTGAGCCCAGGAGTTGGAGGTTGCTGTGAGCTGAGATGCCACAGCACCCTACCCAGGGCAACAGCTTGAGGCTCTGTCTCAAAAAAAAAAAAAGAACACATATCATTTGTGGTAAAAATGGTAAAATCTTCACAATAATCATCTAAGATAGTACTACTATTATCCCTGTTTTATAGATGAGGATCAACAAGATTTATTTACAAATTCAAAACTCATTCCTTTTGTTAATAAATGCAGTTTACCTACTTTTATGATTGAAACTTTAAAGATCTAAGAATTTTTTCTGTTGTTTTATTTCACAGGAAGATGACTACTGTTAATAATAATTTCTTGTATATTTCAAAATAGCTACAAGAGAGGATTTTAAATGGTCTCACCACAAATAAATGATAAATATTTGAGGCAATAGATATGCTAATTACCCCGGTTTGATCATTCCACAATGTTAAAATATATCAAAATTTTATACTGTACCACATAAATATATACAATCATTATTTATCAATTAAAAATATTTTGGGCTGGGTGCGTGGCTCATGCCTGTAATCCTAGCACTCTACCTGAGCAAGAGTGAGACCCTATCTCTAAAAAATAGCCGGGTGTCGTGGAGGGTGCCTCAAACTCTTGGGCTCAATTGATTCTCTTGCCTTAGCCTCCCAAGTAGCTGGGACTACAGACGCCCACCATTATGCCTGGCTATTTTTTTTTTTTTTTTTTGCAGTTGTCATTGTTTAGCTGACCTGGGCCAGGTTCAAACCCATCAACCTGGGTGTATGTGGCTAGCACCCTACCCACTGAGCTATGGGTGCCACCAAAGATAAAATAATTATTGGTGAGGATTTGGAAAAACCAACCCTCACGTATTATCAGTTGTGACCCTACAATTACTTTTCAAAGTATCTACATGACAGAAATGAAAACATATATTATCTGTATAAAGATTTATATGTATTCATGGCACCATTATTCATAATGTCTGAAAGGGAAAACAATCTACATGTCCATCAAATGGTAAATAGGTGAATCAAATCTAGTATAGTCATACAATGGAATATTATTCATCAGTAAGAAGGAACAAACTACTGGTATATGCTACAGCATGTAAAATATCAAAAACAATATGCTAAGTGAAAGAAGCCAGATATAAAAGATTATGTATTATATGATCCTGAAAAGGCTAATCTATAAAGTCAGCAGATCAGGTTGTCTGGGGCTGGGAACAGGAATGAGCATTGACTGCCAAGGACCAGGAGGGACACTTTGGGTGTGATGAAAATGTCCTAAATTTGGATTGTGATAATGTTTGCACATTACCCTAAATTTACTAAAAATCAGGTCAAGGTCTTCACCTTCTCGGGCGCCAGCTTGCAGGCTCACTGGCTTGCAGTCCTGCAGGATTGCCCTGCTGATGGCAAATCCAACTATGAAAATTGACTCCAGGAAAGAGAACCTAACAGACAAATAACAATGGAAGAAATTGGGAAAGTTACCAAAAAGCTATCCTGCAAAAGACCAAGCCCAGGGGGTGTTACAGGTTAAACAAAAATTCTTCATGAAGAAGAAAGCTCTTAAGCAACATGATGGATTCAGAAGCTCATGGAAAGAGTCCACCAATACTAACATCTTCAAAACAAGATGTTACAAATGTTAGCAAAATGAAGCATTATTTGTGTGGCTGCTGTGCAGCTTTTAAAGATGTAGCAATCACATTTCCTATTCATAGGGTCCTTTTTAGGCAACAGTTATATGTTATCAAAACCTGGGATGCAGTACATCAGTTGAGCAGGGATGGATTTTGAAACTTGTATGGTGGAATCCTTCCCCTGTTAATGCAGAAAATAACTACTCTGGCACTTTTGTTTGGTCTCTATGAGGATTTATCCTGCCTTCTCCTCAAGCATGTCAGTGCTCCAGAGTTTGCAACCTGCAGTGTGGCAGCAGTGCTGGCAGGGACTACAGGACTGATTTTCACTCCATTGGGAAGAGTTCAGACATTGCTTGAAGACCACAAGCATCATGACAAACTTAAAAACACCTACCCGGCTTTCAAGGCACTGAAATGCCATGGAATTGGAGAGTATTATCGAGGCTTGGTGCTCATTCTTTTTCGCAGTGGACTCAGCAATGTCTTTTTTTTGGCCTTCAGGGTCCCATTAAGGAGCATCTGCCTATTGCAACAATTCACAGCGCTCATTTGGTCAGCAATTTTATCTGTGGAGGTCTTTTGGATGCCATGTTGGGATTTTTTTTTTCCAATTAATGTTGTAAAAAACGTGCATGCAGTCTCATATTGGTGGGGAATTTCAATCTTTCCCTGAGGTTTAAAAAAAAAAATCTGGCTAGAGTGGGATAGGAAACTGACAGATCTTTTCAGAGGTACCCATCTGATTACCACTGGTCTCTCATCTCTTGGGGTATAATCAATGCAACTTTTGAGTCCTTGTTAAAGGTTATATGGAAAAAATCATCAAGTAAGTGCCATTTATCAACTAAGAAGAAGGCAGTTTGGCCTTGTTCCTAATTGGCCAACTATAAGTTGGTATCTTAAGTCCAGGCCACAGTGAATTAAGGGCAAAGTTGTTTTTCCTTAAGCATCAACAAAAACGGAATAAAGGGTTTTAATAGGGAAGTTTAAGAGTTTTTTGTTTTGCTTTAAATCATTATCTAAGAACAGTAGGCTAATTGCCTGCTAAATAGCTATCCATCTGATGGCCTTTGACAGGGAACCTAATAGCCAAGATATGATTCATTTTCTCAAAACAGTCTTTAACCTTCTGTATTGAGATGTAAGTGTCCAGGTCAGCCAGAAAAAAGGCCTTAAGGCCTTGGGATTTTTCAGGCTCATTTTGTTACTCCCATTTCTTGCTTCTCTGCTCTCAGTAGTTAGAAAGGATAGTCTTCATTAAATTCAAGCATGTGACACAGGGGCAGTACAGAAGAAAATCAACTTATTGGGTAGAGGCTTTTCATAATAAATAGCTTATATTAGTTTTAAAACTGAGCACCTGTTAGATAATCATTATATACTATTTCTATTTAGACATGGTAGAATCAAGCAGCTAATATTAGAAAATTCCCATTTTGCATTCTAAGTTTGAAAGTTTTCTGTTTAATTTACCCTTTCGAAGTATTCTTATGTTAATTTCACTGCCAAAAGATAGACTTAAGTTATTTTTGTTACAAGTCTTTCCTCCTGGCTTGGCACCTGTGGCTCAATTGGTTAAAGTGCCAGCCACATACAACTAAGGTGGCAGGTTCGAATCCAGCCTGGGCCCGCCAAACAACAATGATGGCTGCAACCAAAAAATAGCCAGGCGTTGTGGCAGGCGCCTGTAGTCCTAGCTACTTGGGAGGTGGAGGCAGGAGACTCACTTGAGCCCAGGAGTTGGAGGTTGCTCTGAGCTGTGATGCCACAGCACTCTACCAAGGGTGACAAGGTAAGACTCTGTCTCAAAATAATAATAATAATAATAATAAAATTAGATTAAATTAAAGTATTTCTGTTGTCAGCTTGGCGCCTGTAGCTCAGCAGCTAGGTTGCCAGACACATACACCAGGGCTGGCGGGTTTGAACCCAGCTCGGGGCCTGCCAAACAACAGTGACAACTATAACAAAAAAATAACCAGGCATTGTGGTGAGTGCCTATAGTCCCAGCTCCTTGGAAGGCTGAGGCAAGAGAACTGCTTAAGTCTAAGAATTTGAGGTTGCTGTAAGCTGTGACGCTATGGCACTCTACCAAGGGTGATATAGTGAGATGCTGTCTCAGAAAAAAAAAAAAAAAAAAATATATATATATACACACACATACATATATATTTCTGTTGTCAGATTTAAAACATATTTCTGTTTTCTTATGGGTAAATAAATGCATATCAAAGACTTGAACAGGCATTCTCTCTAAATTTGAGTATTTTTAGTGCTTTCTGCTTAATATCAAATATTTGTTGCCTAATGGCTTCCAAATTATGTGGGAGACTCTATGTTTCCTCTTAAAGTTTCATTTTTAAAAACATTAAGCACACAAAGCTGTTTATGTTGGATATTTTGAGTTTTGTGACTATATGAATTAAATCTGTTAAATGTTTCAGTGTTAACTACTTTTGAGGGTAATTATCTGTAATAAAGTTTTTTTATCCCCCCCCCAAAAAAATTTGCTAAAAATCATTGAATTATACACTTAAAACAGATGAGTTCTATGGTATATAAATTATATCTCAATAAAGCCATTAACAAAGAAAACACTAAGAACTTTCCACTTAACATGGTATGATATCTCAAGAAATAACAGTGTCCCAGGATGCTTTTTGTTTTCTTCTCAGCAAGCAAATAACAACACCTAATGAAATATATATAGTGCTTGATATATACTCTAGGTCTAAGCAGTGTTTAGATATAGATATAGACCATAGAAGTAACTTACCAAAGATCACATAGTTAGGCTGTGGAGAGGCAGGATTTAAACCAGTCTGTCGAGCCTCTCCCAGTTCCCCCAGCGATGGCCACTTCCTTGTCCTCGATGCAACCATGGCTGAAGAATGACCGCAGGTCGAATTGTTCGTGAAGGCTGGCAGTGATGGGGCCAAGATTGGGAACTGCCCCTTCTCCCAGAGACTGTTCATGGTGCTCTGGCTCAAGGGAGTCACCTTCAATGTCTCCACTATTGACACCAAGAGGAGGACTGAGACAGTTCAGAAGCTATGCCCAGGAGGGCAGCTCCCATTCTTGCTGTATGGCACTGAAGTACACACAGACACCAACAAGATTGAGGAATTTCTGGAGGCAGTGCTGTGCCCTCCCAGGTACCCTAAGTTGGCAGCTCTGAACCCTGAGTCCAACACAGCAGGACTGGACATGCTTGCCAAATTTTCTGCCTACATCAAGAATTCAAACCCAGCACTTAATGATAATCTGGAAAAGGGGCTCCTGAAAGCCCTGAAGATTTTAGATAATTACTTAACATCCCCCCTCCCAAAAGAAATAGATGAAACCAGTGCTGAAGACGAAGGCGTCTCTCAGAGGAAGTTTCTGGATGGCAATGAGCTCACCCTGGCTGACTGCAACTTGTTGCCAAAACTCCACATAGTACAGGTGGTGTGTAAGAAGTACAGAGGGTTCACCATCCCTGAGGCTTTCCGTGGAGTGCATCAGTACTTGAGCAATGCCTGTGCTCGGGAAGAATTCGCGTCTACCTGTCCAGATGATGAGGAAATCGAGCTAGCCTACGAGCAAGTGGCCAAGGCCCTCAAATAAGCCCCTCCTGGAGCTCTCTTGAAAGCTCTGAGTAGTTTCCACATTGGTATTCAATGGACACACTCCAAAATGGCCAGTGGGAATCACTTGGAGCACTTGTGCAGGGCCAGATTAGGAGGGAAGAGGGATGACAGAAAGGGATGGGGAACCTGAGTGAGATTTTTATTGTGGGCTGGGGCAGGTAAAATCTAGTGTTTTTACACACACACACACACAAATGATAAAATAAACCAGTCTGTCATCTCAACCACTATTGCCTCTGAAGAAAGAACACTTATAGGAATGTAAATTTTTAAAAGGACTTTTCCCTCTCCCTCTGATATCTTTTTTTCTTCTTTTTTTTTGTTTTTTCTTTTTTTATTTTTATGTATACATGTGTTTACTAGGTTTCCACTTTTTGCCTTCACAAAACCAAAAAGGCTTAAAAATTAACAGCAATGACAAGGTTTAAGATAAGGACTAGAAACAAAAACCTCATAAAGAATGAATGAAGATAAAATACATTCGTAAAAGAAATCAGACAATTGCTGCAATGAAGTTTTAAGCAATAATAATAATAATAGTAATGCAAAGAAAGTAACATTCGCATTGTCAACCAAGAGTATGTCTACTATAGAATACTTTGACTCTGAGATTCAGTATGGAGTCATCAATTAACTTGTTCTTATTATTTTTTTTCCCAAAGTCTCAAAAAATAGACAACTAATATTTTTTTTTAATTTTTTTATTTTTTTTTTGAGACAGAGCCTCAAGCTGTCCCCCTGGGTAGAGTGCCGTGGCATTACAGCTCACAGCAACCTCCAACT